TGTGGGGTTGCTTTTCAACCAAGGGAGTGGGCTCTCTCATAATTCTGCCCAAAAACACTGCCATGAATAAAGAATGGTATCAAAACGTCCTGCAAGAGTGACTACTTCCAACGATCCATGAGCAATTTGGTTATGATTCATGCATTTTCCAGCATGATGGAGCACCATGTCACAAAGCAAGAGTGATAAAGAAGTGGCTCGAAGATCATTACATTGAAATTCTGGATCCGTGGCCAGGCAACTCCCTGGATCTCAATCCCATAGAGAACCTGTGGTCAGTCCTCAAAAGGCGAGTGGACAAGCAGAAGCCCACAAATTCAACTCCGAGAACTAATAAGGCAAGAATGGATCTCCATCAGTCAGGATTTGGCCCAGAAGCTAATATCCAGCATGCCAGAGTGAATTGCAGAGGTTATGAAGAACAAGGGTCAACACTGTAAATATTGACTGATATTTTTTTGCTAATAAAAGCCTTTAAAACTTATGATATGCTTATCATTGTTTTTCATTATACCATAGAAACGTGGAAAAATAATCTACAAATACTGAAGCAGCAAACTTTGCAAAACACAAAATTTATGTCACTTCCAAAGCTTTTGGCCATGACTGTATAATTTGCAATAGAGCATTTTGTTCATGCACATTAGCTGTAAAACACTAGAATGACACATTAGAATCTAGAGATGGAAACTTAAAAAAATTGCTGGTGCCCGCCATCAGTGCAACAGGTTCTTAGTAATGTGTTTAGCACGTGATTGTATAGCACGTGCAAAACGGCAAATAACTCCAGAAGTAGTATCACAGTGAGCACAAGGGCTAGCTGTTCCCTCCTGCCCTTAGGCTGACATAATAGGAGCAGAGCCACCCAGGTCCAGACACAGCTGGGCTCTTACACAAGCACTCAGCTGACACAGACCCAGCTGCCCTACAAACAAGCCTGCGGCACCACCAATAGCAGTATCTATGTGTGGGAGGACTGAACTCTCACAGACACAAGTGCATATAAGGCATTCTTCCACTGCAGATTCAGACCTGATAAAGTGGTACTGGGGATTCTCACGTGACTTAACATGGGATGGCATTTAGACAGTGTGGACAGTTATTTCAGAGCCAAAGTGAGAGTGGGAGGTCACTTGCTTGCTCAAAAAGGGTGGAAGAACTTGGGGCTGCATCCATTCATTGGATAGCAAACATGTAAAGTGGCATGTCCATTGACAAGTGTGAATACCAGTTGGTGCAGTGGTTCTCAACTGGTTTGGCCATGGGACCCACATTTAATCACACTGGCTATCACACTGTAGAGCCCTGGCTCTAGAGTGTTATTTCAGTCGCATTTGAAACTGAAAACTACTGCGTGCGACTATGAAAAAACATTTAGGAGCACCAGTGCGTCTGGCCCGATCAGCATATTTGTTTGCGCTCAGGGGAGCTTTAAAGGTTTCTACTTACAAGGTGTTTTTGCAGCGTTGAGTAATGTATCACAGACATATCTCTTGATTCCTTGAACGCAATGCTAATCAGAATCCACTAACTGCTCAAAACACCAGAGTTTTGTTCAGTGCTGAGTCATGAAAGCTCACGAACCCTCATTATAACAAAGTGTAGACACAATGTAAATAAGAGATTCATTGGGCAGTGTAGAGAGCTTTGTTGATTATAATAGAACTTTGTGAGATCGCTTACATTATCTGACTACGACACTATTGCCTGATTTTGCTCTATTTCGTCAACGAAAATATTTTCAAAGTCACAGCTGAGCCTGATCTCCAAGCAAGCACAGCCGTGTTTCGTTTATGAATGAATGTGCATTTTTAAACTAATCTAATGTGTCAATGACTCAATTACCCATTCATAAAGACCAGTGGTCTTCACTATTTTTTTCATGGGAGCCGCACTGATAGGGCAAAGTCAATCGGAGAGCCACTTTTACCGCGAAGTATCAAAAGTTACATCCAGTCATAAATAGCATGTCTTTTTATCAATCTGTCATATGCAATGCAATGCAATACAAAAGGGGCTATCAATATCTTTTCTAGTCTATATTTCCATCTTGTAATGCCGCTGTTTTAGGTATTTTTAAAAAATATATATAAATTATTTGTAATAGAGCAGACACTGTCTGACCGTGTCTACACCGGACGCGACAGTTGTCGTGCCACACCCTGCTGCACTAAAAGTCTGTCTACACTTGAAGCGACAAAGCGACAGTTGCAAATCATTTGAACGTAGTGTCAGTACAGTTCGTCATAAATAGAACGAGGCATCAGTTTACTGATGGGGATCGTGTCGCATCGCATGGCGTCGCGCCGCATCCAGTGTAAACAACATCACTGGGTTCTATTGTCTTTTGTCGGATCACGCCACTCGCGTCCGGTGTAGACATGGTGTGAGTTTTTTAATGGGTTATGTTATAGCCCTGCTTGTTTTTAATGTTTTTATGAAATATTTGTATTGACTGCATGATCATATCATCGTATTATTTACTGCCATGCGAGCCACAAAGTAAAGCTTTGCGAGCCGCGCAATGAGTAACACTGATAAAGACAGTCACTTGCTTCGTTTGTGAATGAATCAGCCTTTCGAACAAATCACCTGAATGAATGATTCAGTGATAAAACCAGTGACTTGCTGCCACCTATTGGCAGTTTATTTCATTTTTAAAATATCATTATTTAATATTTCTATTAAATAGAAATATTTCTTTTATTAAAGTAAATTAAAATTTCTATATTCAAAATGTTATATTTAAAACATTCATCTCAACATGAATTTATGAATTTAACTGCACTTATGCCACCTCTGAGCCTCAATAAACATCTTTAAATATACCTACATGCCATTTTGTGTTCTTCTTTGCCACCTTTGTAGTGCAAATTAAATTAATTTTGTTAATACTGATTTCATTTGATTGGTAACTTATTAAAAATTTGTTAAAAAAAAAATCAAAATTGTTTCACAAAAATTGTGAAATACACACAAGTACTGTCCCCCTTTACTTAACACATAAATTGTAAGAATATGACTAATACTGATGAATAAACAGCCTATAAGGTAAGGCTATTAAATAGCAGTCCCAAACTAGTTTTTGCTTATTCTTCCTAGTCTATTGTTTTAATCAGAAATTTTGAAAAAGCTTACAAAATTTTAGAATTTCACATAAAAGATGACACTTAATAAAGTTAGAAAAAATGCCATTACAAAGGTAAAAAAAAACGAAAGTAAATTACTTTGAGTCAAATATCACCTCGTAATATTGATCAGAAGGTGCTCCTGAATTTTTTTTTAATGTGCTCCTAAATTTTTTTTAAAGTGTAGAGCCCTGATAGGTGTGTGTGTGTGTATATATATATAAATACCTTGCTACGTGGCTAACAGAGACTTGTCATTTGCACTTACATATTGTTGCTCTTTTGTTAGTTTTGATTGCTTCTATTGTCCTCATTTGTAAGT